CAGCCGAAGCCTTCTCCCAGTAGAACTGATCTGAGGACAGTTATATTGGCTAAGAAGGCTTCGGCTAAGAAGAAGTCCTGACGCCAAGCCGTTCAGGATGCTGAGGGTGGTCCCCACCGAGGCGGAAAGGTGTTCACCTCTTTTTACGGTGCCCATTCCTCCTCGGTGCCCTCAGGGGCTCGTTCTGCCAACCCCGCCTTTATGCCGGGGCACAGACGATCCCAGCGAGCGCTTTCCCGAGGGACGCTCGCTCCCTCTGAGGAGGGTCTCAGAGCGGTCAGACCAGTTGTTCCCTGCCGGTGCGCCGTTACAGGGCGCTGCGTCTGCTGCTCAAGTTACACCAGAGGCCAGTCTCGAGAGGCTGGTACCCTTAGTAGAATTTCTGGCAGAGTGGAAAAGCCTTCCAAAAATATCTCATTGGGTCCTGCAGACAGTAGAAAAGGGTTATGCTATCCAGTTCAGGTGTCGTCCACCAAAATTCAGAGGGGTTCTGCACACAGTGGTGGGCCCCGAGCAGGCTCTGGTATTGGAACAAGAGGTGAAAACGCTCCTTCAAAAAGAGGCTATAGAACGGGTTCCTCCTCCCAGTTTGGAGTCAGGTTATTACAGCCGATATTTCATCGTTCCAAAGAAGGATGGGGGGTTGCGTCCAATTTTAGACCTGCGCATATTGAATCGCTCGGTAGGGAAGCTAAAATTCAAGATGCTCACTATCAAGCAGATCGTGTCTCAAATCAGGTCCGAGGACTGGTTTGTCACGATAGATCTGAAGGACGCATACTTCCATGTGTCCATCCTTCCACAACACAGGAAGTTCCTGAGGTTCGCCTTCGGGGGCGAGGCGTACCAGTACAGGGTTCTTCCGTTTGGCCTAGCTTTATCTCCCCGCACTTTCACGAAATGCATGGATGCAGCACTAGTGCCTCTGAGGCTTCAGGGCATTCGGATTCTCAATTACATCGACGATTGGTTGATTTTAGCTCAGACCGAGCAGATGGCGGTTCGGCATCGAGATGTCGTCCTCGCTCATATCAGAAAGTTGGGGTTGAGGCTGAACGCAAAGAAAAGTGTATTATCTCCTTCCCAGAAGACCACTTTTCTGGGTGTCGTTTGGGATTCGGTATCGATGCGGGCGCGACTCTCTCCGACCCGCATCGCATCGATTCTCTCAGCTGTGAAACAAGTGAAGCTAGGCCAGCTACTCACTGTCAAGCAGTTTCAGAGACTGTTGGGTCTGATGGCAGCAGCGTCCAACGTTATACCTTGCGGCCTGTTGTACATGAGACCGCTACAGTGGTGGCTCAGGACCAAGGGATTCTCCCCGAGGGGAAATCCGCTCCGCACGTTCAAAGTCACGCGGCGCTGCCTTCGTGCTCTGGTCATGTGGAGAGAAACTTGGTTCCTATCCAAAGGTCCTGTGCTGGGGGCTCTTTGTCGTCGCATAACGCTAACGACGGATGCTTCCCTCACAGGGTGGGGGGCGGTCATGAGTGGTCGCCCAGCCCAAGGTCTGTGGCAGGATCATCATCTTTCGTGGCACATAAATTGTCTAGAGATGTTGGCTGTGTTTCAGGCTCTGAAACACTTCCTAACAGACCTGAGAGGCCATCATGTGTTAGTTCAATCAGACAACACGTCGGTGGTCTCTTATATAAATCATCAGGGGGGCCTGCGGTCTCGCCGGCTTTACAAGTTGGCCCGTCAGATCCTCCTGTGGTCCCAAGGGAAGCTACTATCTCTGAGAGCAATGTATCTCCCTGGGTATTTGAATGTGGTAGCAGACTCCCTGTCGAGGCAGGGGCCGAGGCCAGGGGAATGGAGACTCCACCCCGAGGTGGTGGAGCTCCTTTGGTTGAGTTTCGGTCGCGCCGAGGTGGACCTATTCGCTTCCAAGGAGACCACTCATTGTCATCGGTGGTTCTCCATCACTCTTCCAGCCCCCCTGGGGTTGGATGCTATGGTGCAGCCGTGGCCGAGGTCACGTCTGTACGCCTTTCCCCCGATTGCTCTGTTACCAGGAGTTCTGGAGAGGGTCCGCCGGGACGGGGTCAGTCTACTACTAGTAGCCCCGTTCTGGCCGGCCCGAGTATGGTTTGCGGACCTGATTTCTCTCCTGGACGGTTCTCCTTTGGAGCTCCCGGTCAGGAGGGATCTACTCTCCCAGGCGGGGGGCACGATACTTCACCCCCGCCCAGAATTGTGGAAACTGTGGGCTTGGCCTCTGAGGGGGCCCAGCTCATAGACTCCGGTCTCTCAACCGAGGTTGTTGAGACCATTCTTAACTCCAGAGCTCCATCCACGAGGAAGCTTTATGCCTTGAAGTGGAAACTTTTCACTTCTTGGTGTGGAGAACACCTGCAGGACCCAGTTAACTGCCCAGTGGGTGCAGTGCTGGAATTCCTGCAGGAGCGCTTCTCCACAGGGTTATCCCCCTCCACACTAAAGGTGTATGTGGCGGCACTAGCTGCTTACCACGTCCCTTTCAGTGGAGTTTCTCTTGGGAGACACCCGCTTATAACTCGTTTCCTCCGTGGCACCTTGAGGCTGAGGCCAGCAGTTCGTACGAGGGTGCCGACTTGGGATCTGGCCATTGTATTAGAAGGTCTTTCCCTAGCTCCTTTTGAACCTATCGAAGAAGTTCCCGAGAAGTTTCTCACTTTTAAGACTATCTTTTTGCTTGCTATCTCTTCACTAAAAAGAATCGGAGATTTGCAGGCTCTGTCGGTTTCACCCTCGTGCCTGGAATTTGCACCTGGCATGGTTAAAGCTTTTCTGCATCCTAGACCAGGTTACGTTCCTAAGGTTCCTACTAATATTGTTAGACCTACGGTTCTGCAGGCTTTCTGTCCTCCTCCATTTATGTCATCGGACCAGGAGAAACTTAATTCACTCTGCCCTGTTAGGGCATTAGACGCTTATGTCCACAGAGCTGCCCTGTGGAGGAAATCAGAACAACTTTTTGTATGTTTCGGGCCACCCAGGAAAGGGTGTCCTGCGTCTAAACAGAGAATGAGCAAGTGGGTGGTTGAGGCTATCTCACTTGCTTATGAGTCGGCTGGCCAGCCTTCACCTTTGGTTGTCCGAGCTCACTCTACCAGGAGTATGGCTGCTTCTAAAGCTCTTTTGTCGGGGGTTTCCCTGAGTGATGTTTGTGATGCGGCTGGATGGTCTTCACCGCATACTTTTATTAAGTTCTATGACCTAGACTTAAGCTCTACCCCTGGGGCACAGGTGCTCTCGTCCTCTGTGCGCTAGTCTCACATGACGGTCATTTGGTCCTATGGCGACGTGGGTATTCGCGTTCCCGCAGCGTTTGACGCAGCTCGAAGTTCCCTTGAAAGGGAACGTCTCGGTTACGTATGTAACCCTAGTTCCCTGATAGGGAACGAGACGCTGCGTCGCTCCGCCATACTCCCGGCACTCCCGTTAGAGCTTCCTTCAAGCCTATCAGAAGCTAATGCGCTTGTGTTTTTGGGGTGCTTTATAGTTTCCTGGTCGATGACGTCACCCGCCTATGACGTTTCATCTCTCCATTGGGCTGATTCCATACGTGCTTCATGACGCACAACGCAGGGGCGTTCCCGCAGCGTTTGACGCAGCGTCTCGTTCCCTATCAGGGAACTAGGGTTACATACGTAACCGAGACGTTAACCATTTGTGTTTTCTATTCTAACCAAGTTCTCTCCTCTTTGATGGGAGTCAAGTGTATTAGTGATATTGATTTAATCTTAGTTCTTGATACCAGATGGGACTCAAAACCTTCGATAATAATGTTGTGAAACTCATTAAACCTGTTGTTTAAATTCTTTGAGATAGGTCTGCTGGAGTTTCACAACCAGGGATAATTTTCTGTTCTGATCTAAAGATGTCACCTCGAAATATTTGTAGCTCATTGCCAGGGGTAAGTTTCTGTAATTTTTTAGATGCTTTTGTTTTAGTGGTCACTAAGGCTGTGTGTAAAGTCCTCACCTTTAAGGACTGCCCACCAAATGCCTATAAAATACAGCTCCTTTAGTTAGACTTGATGACTGCAGCTACCAACATCTCGTGTTCTCAATAAAGAATCCTGCTGAAGATACAACAGAGTCTCCTGGTCTTCACGCCTGAGTTTCATACAATACCTAACAATTTTGATGTAAGTACATAGTAGTTAATGACACCTAATAGAAAGTGTCACCAAAACGGTTATGTAAACCCTATAGCTGTGCATTGCAATGCTTGACGTGGCTTTTTTTCCAGTTTTACAAATGTAAACACCATCTGGTCAAAGCTCCAGCATGGGCAATATATAGGTTGATTGAGGCTTTTATGTTGATTGATGTTTTCTGTGCAATGACTAAAGAACCCCTTTAAAAGGATGTGAAGTAAGCTGAGAAATTGTGTGTTCGTAATAGAAATCGTGCGGACCTGTGCCTTAGAACCGAGGTGTCCAGTTAATCAGCTTTGTCATGGCTATTAAAGCACTGTGTGCAATGGCACTCAATCCCATTAAAGTGACCTTGACTAAAGAGTAGAAGACAGAGAGGTTTAATACTAATGCAGGTGTGAACTTTTACTCAAATTAATGTTCAAATATGGCACTAAATGATTGTTTGTATCAGTTTTTGTGACATACATCCCCAGCTGAAACAATCTGTCCTCTTATTTCAGTTGTTTTCACACATGAATATAATATTATAATGGAAAAAAACAAGTCTTGGGATGGTAAATAGTTGTTTTCTGTGCTTAAAGATGAAGTGTGTCATTTCTGTCACCAAACGTAACGACAACAATAATGATTGTTTTCAAATCAGGGAGGTCTATAATAGCTGGAGAAAGGAAGCTCCTCCCCAAACTCACGGCATTGTTTGAGCCAATATTATTATGTTAGACCGCTCTAACAAATACACTGACACAGAGCTCAAATCATCATATGAACGGCTTACTTGTAGTTATCTCTGAACTTAAAATTGGGAATAGAAGACATATTTTAGCATTGGCTAAAACTTTTTTCACTGCAGATTTTAGAGTCTTCTGAGATCCTTGGAACGTGAGTTATTCTGCAAACGGTGACAAAATGAAGGTCGCTGCACTCCTTATCCTCGGTTGCCTGGTTTGGGAAGTTTTGGCAAAGCCTCAGTTTCCAGGTCAGTTAAGATACTTTCTGTTTATTGGCCTTTTGCCTGTATTAGATAGGACAATTGCATACTTTTATACTTTTTTTCTGCAATGATAAGCATTTTGTCTCTTTAAAAATAAATAAGATGCTCATTTTAAAAGTGGTGCTAATTCCTGTTCCTGAAGATTTAACTTCCGGGAAAGTGTACCTCCAACCCAAATCAAATGCACCTGAACCAGCTAGTCAAGATCTTCTACAAACACTTGTGTTGGAGCAGGTTTAGAACGAAACTTTGCAGGAAAGTAGCTCTTTTGGAACAAGAATGAGTCCTGCCATATAGTTTGCTTGTAGTGTCTTTGATTCATAGAGAGTCATGGCGTTACGCTGTTAATGAAGCAGCACTCATCTGACACTATCTCAGGCCAGGTTTATTAAACTGAAGGTTTAATAGTCTTCTTTTCGACCTTGTTCCAAGTATGGGCATAGAATAAAACTCATTTCAAATGTACGTTAGCTTCTATAAGAAGATTGGACCCTCGGGTCAGATGGTTCCAGATATGTTCATTTTCGTGATTGTGGGTTTAAGAAGCTTATGTGGACAGAAGAAGATATGCATAAAATAGAAAGTTGTTGTTCTTGTCCAGCATTTGTTATATATTTAGCTCAGTTTAGTTTAGAGAGAGATAGCATACTCATCATCCCTCAAGGCCATTGTCATTATCTTGTTTTGCAGGAGCATCTTTGCTGATTTTGTGTTATCATTTGTGGGCAAACGTGTAAACATGTTTTCTTACGGCTTGTAGAACAAGAGAAGGACCCTGATTTCTGGAAGGGTTGGGCTCAGCGCTCACTGAAAACTGCTTTGACCCTCCAAGAGCTCAACAAGAACGTTGCCAAGAACGTCATCCTTTTTCTTGGTGATGGTAAGTCACGCCATCCATGGATCCCTGTGGATATTTACCATGAGATATTTGTCTGGTTATATAAGTTATAAGTACCGTAAGTTGAAAATAATTTTCATTTCTGTTCTTTCAAACAATATCAATCCACTTTGCTTTTGATTTTTTTAACCAAGCCTTGAAAACTGTTTGTGCAATACTAGGTCTAACAAAAAGAGTTAAATATTTTTAAAAGCACTGCTACACTGTATGAACCTGCTTCAAAATTAAGCATTAACACGGGCAGTGACGGATATCAAGTTAATGAGAAATAAGCTAATTAACCACAGTGAACGTCAGGTTGAATGTCAGGTTTCTTCTGGACAAATTTGAAAGCGCAATGCGTATCAAAGTGAACTTGGGCACCAAAAGGATGGAGGGAAGAGGCAGTTTGATTTATTCTGGTTGAAAAATGAAGATTATCTCAGTAACAATAGATCATATTTATTGGAAATAATTTAGCTTATTGTACACCACGTCCCTGTGAAAGGAAAGCAATGCTGGTATAAAACACCTGAGTTTACAAAACCTAAAAAATATATCTTATGAACCCTCAGTTCAACCACTGTCATGTTGGTTTATTTCAGTGCTCACTGTCCACCACAACAATAAACGCATACCAGCTACAAAAAGGATGATTTCACATACAGGATTTTCTAGAAGTGACTGTTGAAATAGAGATACGAGAAGATTTCGATCAGTTGACCTGTTGGTTCATGCATTAAGATTATTAAAAGGACAATGTGACTTATGATTTTCTTGGAGGTCAGCCAACCAAGTTCAGAAAAGACTTCTGAATTTTCATATAGGTTTTGTAATTCTGTAGATGATATAAATCCTTTGGAGTCATGATCATCTGATGTTAAGTTAATTCAAGGATTGACTTCAAATGGTAACTGATTTGTCTGATACATTAAAAGGATCGGCACACTGTGTGCATTTCATTCACTAAAAAATAACATATTAAAAGAGCCATTTTACAGTTTTACACTGGTAGCACTGTTATGTGCCCGCAAGGACAACACAATAAAAACATTTATTGCCATTATTTTGCAGTACACAGTCTTTTCATCTCATCACATTCAATTCAGACTGCAAACACGGATCAAATATGACGTAATTTGCCGGTTGACTGTGAAAATGCTGGCAAGATTGATCTTGGAGTTTTAAGAGTCAATATCATTAAAATGAAGATAGTGTTTTAATTGGAAATTGATTACTTGCTTTTCAAGTTATAGTTTAAAGTTATGAAGATAGGAATATATTTTACATAAGATGTCAAGGTAAATTAATAAGCGTTTGCATAAACATTTAGAGTACTCAAATTTAATTGCTCTTTTTTATAGTTCAGAGTACTTCGGATACGTTTTCAATTCATAATTGCAACTCAAGCCACACAACCCTCATAATCCATTAACACAGTGCAGTAAATACATTGTGTAATATTTTATAATTTAATTTTAAGCGACTCTTTTTCAATGTGATTGTGCTTTTTGAACATTTCTTCTTATACAGTTTTGTACAGTTCTGCAAGCTTGAGACTTTTAACTGTACTCTAATTTGGTCCTTGTGCTTTTAAGAATAGCAGGTTGTTAAATGACAAGAAGTCATTTCATCTCACTATTCTGAATAAACTTCAAGAATTAATTTGAGAATGGCTTGTTCCTTTCTCAGGTACTATCAGACCATGTTATTCATGATAGATGGTGCTTGAAGGAAAGCATAATTTGTATTTGTTATTTTATTGTTAAAATAGTCTGTCTTAATCATGGCAACTTTTGTTGTTGGTAGGTATGGGTGTATCTACGGTCACAGCAGCACGGATTCTAAAGGGTCAAATGAGTGGACAGAGTGGTGAGGAAACACAACTGGAGATGGACAAATTCCCCTATGTTGCCCTCTCTAAGGTACATCCCTTGTGTTGTAATCCCATCATGCCATTCCTTTGTGTTCATAATCCATGCAGTCGCCCACCCCGGGTCACAGAGAACAGATTCAAATCATAGTTTGATTCTGTCTGGGTTCTGTCACAGAAGCTCTGACATTCCCGGTTTGTCATGTATTTGTGTTTAGTCTGGTTTGTTGTGAGCACATGGCTTGTCTTGTATTCCTTGTGCCATGTGCTCTCTTGTCAATTGTCTGGCCCCTCCCATCTTGTTTCCTGATTATTGATTAATTTGCCCCACCTGCCTTTTTCGTTACCCTCCTTTGTTTGTTCCCTATTTAGTCTCCCTGTGTTTGCAGTCCTGTGCTGGTTCATTATCTATGTTTCCCTTGTGTTTCCTGTGCCTGCCTGAGATCTGTCTTGTTTTTGTTTGTAGTTTTTATTTATTTTTATTACTTAATAAATACCCTTACTCCTGCACTTGAATCCTTGCTTCACTATTTTACCATTCCGTGACAGATTCAGCCACAGTTCTGGGATGATGATTCTCACATAGTTACATTTTTCACAGATGTTAACCATTATTAAAAGTGAGGATGGTGAACTATGGTCAGTTATTATCTCCTATTCAGCTGTTTTTCTTTTTGGCTTTATGTATATTTTTCACTTAATCCAATAAAGCCTTCTGTATTATACTTTATATGGAGTCCTAGTGGAAGGCCATGGTGGAGATACTAACAAGGTACAGAGGTACCGATAGATCCAGAGGGGAGATTTTAGAAAGAAGGATCATTTGCAGAGAAAGCGAGGCAGACACATCAGGGCAGGGCCGGCTGGACACAGGCGAGACAGTCAATCCAGTACAAATAATCTCACCAGATTGGTCAGGCTCTGGCAAGATGGGGCATTGGGTGAGGAATTAAGGAGAACCCCACAGCTGATGTAGTGGGCACAGGACAGTACTTGTAGCTTGGGTGAAGCCGGCTCGGCGGAAGGCTTGGGCGGGGCCGGCAGGCAAGCAGTTTTGGGGTGACCTCTGTGGCCATATCGGGGAGAGCAGGAAGCTCTAGGACCACCAGATTTTGTAAGATGGAGGAAGCCTTTCTCCTCTTCCTCCGCATACTTCAGCGAGGCGATGGGATGGAGATTGTTGCTACACTGACCGAACACAATGACACACGCAGACAGAAGGGCGTACAGCCCGAACTCGAACTCGAAACCGCACGCTTGCAAGAGAGAGCGCGAGAGAACGAGCGAATACTCATAATATCAACACTCGTAGCATGAATGTCTGAATCCCGACACAGAACCAAAACAAGACCGAAGTGCCAGGGTCCGAACACCACACTCCACACACAAAATAACTCTCATGGACCGAAGAGCGCATGGCAATATAATGCTAAATAAACAATTATAGAACTACACCAAGTGCTCCGTTGAAATAATCCCTTCAGCTATAAAAAATGTCCTTGTTTTTTCCCCAGACATATAACACTGATGCTCAGGTACCAGACAGTGCAGGCACTGCCACGGCATATCTGTGTGGGGTCAAAGCCAACGAGGGAACGGTTGGAGTGAGCGCAGCATCTGTAAGATCCCAGTGCAACACCACTCAGGGGAACGAGGTCACCTCCATTCTTAAATGGGCCAAAGACTCAGGTGAGATGCTCTGTTGAATCCTCTCATACAGCAGCTATAATGCCTCTGTCCCGACTTCTATTGTAATTAGAATATAGATGGGATATTTCTGGTCTCATTTTTTTGCTAGCAATCCATTAGCTTATTTTTGCATGAGAGAAACAAAGGTGACACTAGCACAAAAAAAAAACCAGGTTGAGCAGATTTCAGAAAGTGGAAAAACACATCCTTATCTGAAGTAAGAGGAATAAACGAGAAGGGTGACAGTTTGACTGATGAGCGCAGCACGCAGGCGGCTTTCTCATATTTTATTCTCATGTTGAAAATAAAAACAAATGAAGCGTTTTATAAGATGGAAGTCCTCCGCTGAAGGTAGAGGTGAATGTAGCCGAGTGGAATTTGCTCAACATGACCAGAATAAACATTTTAAAATCCAGCTGAGAGGTTTAAAAGGCGGACGGTCTAATCAGTGTCAAACTGATAACCTGACCTGATGTGAGTACAGGGGAAAATGCTCTCTCTCTTTAGAGCTTGTGTTCAGAGAATGCATTAAAATAGTGTGGCATAGAACTGCTTGACCTTAGCCAGACAACATGGCTTTAAATCAAGCTGTTTACTTGTCCAGTATAACATTTCTAAGCTGATGCAGTGCATAATTTAGTTAGTTTTCTGCCAGTCAGTCTGTTGATTAAATATCCGTCATCCGTCAACAACAAGTAATCAACTAGAATATAGATATAGTGATGGACATGTCTCTACTGGAACAATTAACAGTTGCACCTATCTGTATTTTCCCACAGGCAAATCAGTGGGAATTGTCACAACAACACGAGTGAATCATGCCACTCCGAGTGCCTCGTATGCCCACTGTGTAGATCGGGACTGGTATTCAGACGGGGAGATGCCAGCTGAAGCACTGCAGAGTGGATGCAAAGACATTGCCAGACAACTCTTTGAAAATATCCCTGACATTAATGTGAGTTTTCTCATGATCCCAGCCCATCCAGTTTTATAAATTGGTTTTATATTGCATAGTGTTTGTTCATTCAATATCTGTTTCTGTTAATAATGGGTTACTTTGCCCACTTGTTAAAATGCTTCTGTTTTGCATTTTTTCTTAATTATATTTCTTAGTAATAATAATAACAATAAATATCTAAACAAATAATCTATTAAAAATAATAATAAAATAACTTAAAATATTAATTATTATTTTTATTATCATTAACCCTGTATTATACACTTTTATAATAATAAATATTTAAAATAAAATAACAAAAAATATTATTAATTATAATATAATAATAATAATATGGTAAAATCATTTATAGATACTATTTTTCTTTTAAAAATGTATTATTATTATCATTGATAATAATAATGATACTAGTAAATATAATAAATTATTTTTGTATTAATAATAATAATAATGATTATTATTATTACTTGGACTATTATTATTAATATAATTGTCATTGTAATATTGTCAAATTAATTATTATATAAATTAGATATATTTTAGCAGCATTATTTATTATTATTATTAATAATACATCATTATATAATAATAATAATAACTATTATTATTTTGTTATATAATATTTATAAAATATTTAAACTACTAATTACAAATTATTTTAGCTGCATACATTTTAATAGTGCAGAATCTTAAATATGTCTACTGTATTTAACATCATAGTGTTTTTACATTTTCAACATCTTAAACTATTTTGGTTTAAATTGGGTTTCTTTTAGACCGCAGTGTGTACAATAAATTTGTGATGTTTTTTTTTCTTTTTGGATGGGCAGGTAATTATGGGGGGTGGGCGGAAATATATGTACCCCAAAAACACACCAGATGTGGAATACCCAGGAGACAAGAAACACAACGGTACACGCAAAGATGGCAGGAACCTTGTGGGGGAGTGGATTGACAGAGTGAAGGATAAGGTGAAAGATGAAACAAGGGGAAAACAGGGCACTTCATTCCATCTTTTCATTTACAATGTCATGTTCAATTCATTTCAGAAAACAAAAACAAAACAAACGATTCCACGCTATGCCTCTGCTGACAAGTCTTTTTTTATTTTCTCTCTGTGTTTGCCTGACTCTGGCAGTGTATTCGTGCTCTTTTGATGATGCCCTCTTTATTGACTTCCCTGAATCTGATCTGAAGCTCTTGAGGCCTCTAAAGCAGGCTTTACAGCTGTGCACTTAATAACAAATGAAGACAATTTGTACTTGCTGTGATACTGGATTACAGAGATTTGGTTGCAAGATATTGGATCAAAGCTTTGTCATACATTCTATAAAGCATCTAAATCTAAGAGGGTACCGCTATTTCTCTAACCTGTTTGTTGTTTCTCTCTTAACCTTTGTGTAATCAGAGAGGTTACTATGTTTGGAACAAGAAGGATCTCCTTTCCCTGAATCCAAATAATGTGGATTATCTGTTGGGTGAGTTTCATTAACATTCTGGTTAAGTGACCTTTTTTGAGATAATGTTTGGTGACACTTTATTTTAAGGTGACACGTTACTACATGTATTTACTATAGTAATGACAGTAAATGATGCATAATTACAAGTAACTAACCCCAACACTTACCATAACACTATAGTAAGTACATGTAGTTAATTAATACTACTCAGTACTTATTTGTTACACTTGTACAGTGTTGCAGTGTAATTATATATTTAAGTGATGAGTAATATTAATTAACAACATGTACTTTTCTATAGGGTTAGGGTTGGATTAAGGTTTGGAGCGAGGGTTAGTTGCATGTAATTATGCATAATTTTCTGTTATTTCTATGGTAAGTACATGTAACAAGGACACTATAAAATAAAGTGTAACCCAATGATTTACTGAATTCCTGCTCTATTTGCGCTGCAGGTCTGTTTGAGCCAGCAGACCTGTCCTATGAGCTTGAGAGAAACGAAGAAACCGACCCTTCCCTCACTGAGATGGTAGACGTGGCCATTAAGATCCTGAAAAAAAATGAACGCGGGTTCTACTTGCTGGTGGAAGGTAAAATATAGTGTACACAGAGCCGGATTAACGCAAAGGCAAACTAGGCACGTGCCTAGGGCCCGATTGGCGGGATGGGGCCCAGACAGAGGGACAAAAATAAAAAAAATAAAAAAATTACAAATGTCATATCTACAATTTATTTCAATATTTATTAATTAACTAAAAATAGTGACGATGTTTATCTTAACCATAGACTGTTATACGTCACATTAACGCCAGCCCATCAGGTGCTGCGAAGCAAAGCAGAAGCACAGCTCGTAATGCAGGTGTGTGCGTTGTCGTCATCTATTTTGGAGTGATTGCAATGTATTCTAAATATAAACTTGTAGGCCTACTGTAGATCAGCGTCATTTCTAGAAAAATCATTCACCGCTTTATTACGAGTTTAAAAGAGCGCGAGCGTCATTAACTGCCCAGACGCGATGCTTTGAATTTGCACGAACAATGAATAACATCGCGTCGGGAGCTGACTAAAAACGCTACAAAAGTAAAAGACAAGACGTTTGTATTCAAAGTTAAAAACCCAACACACTACAACATTTTTAAATGTTTCAAATAAAGGATCTCATGGGTCTATCTTCTAAATTCTGCTGATGATTAGGCTAGATTATACCCTGTCTGACATCAGCCTACTCGCGCCAATAATATCAGTTTAGAATTTTTTTTTCTAATCAGTAGTGATCGTGTCTTTCTCTTCCACTTGATTTGTGTATAGCATATTTAAGCTAGCAATGCATAATATCATATTACTTATATTAATAATATGACAATATCTGCAGTCAATATTGATTAAATGGGAGGGGAAAATACCAGCTATGAAAAAATGATAAAAGCATATATCACTGAAGTGGTATTCTGGAACTGTGAATAAATTGAATAAAACAGCAAAATAACAATAACAATAACATCTTCATTAAACAAAAAAGAGATTACCTTAGATGAAGTTTGATTAATACAGTAGCCTACTGGTAAAAAGTCTGGACCAATTACTATTTTTAATGTTTTTGAAAGAAGTTTTTATTATGCTCTACAAGCCTGCATTTATTTGATAAAAAAACCCCAAAAAAACAGGAATATTCAGCAAGGATGTGTTAAATATATAAAAAGTGATAGTGAAGACTTTTTTAAAACAACTTTTTAATAATAAAAAAAAATCCTGAAAAAAAGTATCACAGGTTATAAAATAAATATTAAGCACCATTTCTAACATTTGATAATAAATCAGAATTTTATAAAGTTTTCTGAAGGATCACATGACACTAAATTCAGCTTTGCATCCCAGAAATATATTTTAAAGTATAGTAAAATAGGAAAAACATTATTTTAATAATATTTCACTATATATTATTTTTCTGTATTTTTTATCAAATACATCCAGGCTTGATGAGCATAAGAGACTTCTTTCAAAAACATTAAAAATAGTAATGTGTCCAAACTTATGTACCGTGTAAGTAAAAACATTTAAAATTAAATGTTGTATAAATTAAAAGGTTAGGAATCATATTTTGTTTCAAGAGTTTTTTATTGGGGGTGGGGGGCCTCCAACAAGAATATTGCCTAGGGCCTCCAAATCTCTAGAACCGGCCCTGAGTGTACATCACTATTCATTAGACCGCAGATGTGCAACGGAAGGTCATTTTAACATCTAAATAAACTAGTATCAATTTGGCTTTTTTTTTAGTGCTGGGGAAGCTACTTTTTAAACGACTCTATATGCAGTTGTGCTCAAAAGTTTACATACACCTTGCAGAATCTGCACAATAGCTGAACTTATAAAAATGAATCTGTACAAATGAAAAGTTTACACACCCTTGATTCTTAATACAGTGTCGTTTTTTTTGTTTTGTGATTGTTGTTCTTGAGTCCCTTGTTTGTCCTGAGCAGTTAAACTGCCCAATGTTCTGCAGAAAAACATAAATTTCTGCAAATTCTTCATTTTTCATCATATTTTACATATTTGAACCCTTTCCAGCCGTGACTGTACGATTTTGAGATCCATCTTTTCGCACCGAGGACAATTGAGGGACTCAAACACAACTATTAAAAAAGATTCAAACATTCACTGATGCCCCAGAAGGAAACACAATGCATTAAATTGTAATTAATTTGTCTTCCGGGAAACATGTAACCATCTTCTGTTGTTTCCGAAGGGCAGTACTAAATGGAAAGAAATTATATTTAAACAAAATATGAACAATTTGGATGAATGAACATCTTCATCCTGTTCAAAAGTTTTCACCCCCAGCTTAATACATTGTGTTTCCTTCTGGAGAAATATATATACATTACACACACACACACACACACACACACACACACACATATATATATAGTATGTTTGTGTGTTTTAATTAAATATTTAACTATATTACCAGTTTAAAATGTATTTAAGAAATGTAGTATTTATGTAGCATGAAAACAGCAAAGACGTGATAAAAAACAACAACAAGAAAAAACAAGAAAAATAAAAACACTACACAGCTACACAAATATATGTAACTAAACTACAAACATAGAATAAACTGCAGTATTTTAATATTGATCTCATTAAACATTTGGATGGTGACAGAGTTGAATAAATTAATTTGAAAAATGAATTAAAATTCATTTGATGATTGCTTCAGTTTGCTCGTAGAAATGCAATGTGACAAAAATGTCGAAATCAACCACTTATTAATTAAATCAAATGAAATTAAAGTGAATTTTCAAAAGCTGCACCATAACAGCTCAGCAACTGTCAGGTACTGGCACTATAACAACCCTTTCATCTACTGAAGTGAAAGATATTTACAGAATGAATGCATGTCTACATGCTCTATATGAGACCTCTGACCGGGCTGTCCGATGACAGGTGGGCGCATTGACCACGGACACCATGAGGGCAAAGCGAAGCAGGCCTTACACGAGGCTGTGGAAATGGATCGGGCCATTACTCGAGCTGGCTTCCTCACCAGCGTTTATGACACCCTAACCGTTGTCACGGCTGATCACTCTCATGTCTTCAGCTTTGGAGGCTACACACCACGGGGAAACTCCATCTTTGGTAGGCAATGAAGGCTCAAGGCATGCTGGGAGCACTTTAATTACAGAGTGATTTCTTGGTGGTTCATGGCCCAGACTCAGAGCTTTCAATATCCTTTCCGCAGGTTTGGCCCCCACTTTGAGTGATATTGACCAGAAGCCCTTCACATCCATTTTGTATGGAAATGGCCCAGGGTTCAAGTTGGTTAACGGTTCCAGAGAAAATGTCTCAACTGTGGACTACGGTAAGTAATTGCAGATTTATCGCTTCCTGGTTCTGCCCAGGGACCTACTTTTGGGAGACTTGGAATGCTGGGTTCCCTTTCAGTCGGTCACGTTCGACGTCACATCTCCTTTCCTTTCTTCAGGGAACGAGGGTTACATGCATAACCGAGATGATTTACTTTAAATTGTTCTATGGCATGTTACATAGCCACTAAAACATAATGTAAAAAGCCTATACTCCTGATGGTGTACATTCCATACAAAAAGGGTGGGAAAACAGCTCTGATGGTAATCTTGATGGATTGAAATGCTTACAATTCATCATACTGGCTTGATGAGCACAAGAGTCTTCATTCACAAACATTAACAAATCTTACAACGTTAAGCTTTTGAACGGTAGTTTACATTATATTTTACATAATTTTATGTAATATGTTTTAACGTGAGACTTTTTGAATGGAGCGGATCGGCAATGTTCTCTGAAACAGTGTCAACTCTAGTGTAGCAGCACCCTGAATGTCAAACTCAGCGGTAGTTGAATGATGATAAAGTGAATCTCTCTCAGTTCCCACCTCCCATATTTCTTACTCTTCCTCTATGTTTGACAAGCCATAGAATTATGGCTATTGTTTTGGCTTGGTCTTTCTTTTCTCTCATTTTCTTCCCCATCACTCTCTCTCCCTGTTTTGTCTCATTACTATTCCACAGCATAGGTTTGACTCTTTCAATTTCTGTTTTCACTGATAGAACCCAATCCAAAAACAATGAAGAAAAATTCATTGTCATCCCTACTGTTGACACTCTTCTGGGGATGTCAAATATTCCAGTACAAAGACAAATGGAACTGTACCAAATTTTTATATCCGTAGTTCTGAGTATTGACAAGTAAACAGAAATATAGAAAACTCACTGCTTTTATTTTTTTTACATTTATTTCTGTGTTATTTATGTTGACTGTCTTACTGTTGATTATTTGAAAAATTAAGTGATTTTTTTATGATTTATTTTGTTTTTTTTATTGCTCATAAATTGTAATCAATACTTTTTTTTTCTAATTCCTGAGAAATGCTTTCAGGCTACATACTTCTGTTTTAATTTTAATTTGTTAATAATCATATTAATACATTGACCTTAATATATAGATTGTAATTTAATTTGAATTTAACATAATTATACATATATTTATCTTAATTACTGACATATTTAAATAACGTAGTGTTTTATTCAATATTAATTTATTATTAATTGGAATTTAGTTTTAATATAACACTTAATTTATTTCTCTTAATTATTGAGAAATGCTTTCAGTCTACATGCTATTGTTTTCATTGTAATTTGTTAATATATTAAACTTAATATTAATTGGAATAATTATTTTTATAACTTTATAATTTATTTCTCTTAATAATTGAGAATTTCATTTAATTTTCATTTGATAATATTCATATTACTATTTAACCAAACTAAGGTGTTTCATAAATATTAAAGTTTTAATATAAATATATCATTATTCATTTATTTCTCTTAATGGTAAGTAACCTAAAAGCATTTCTCTAAAATTAAGAGAAATAAATGAATGATTAAATGAATACATTTATATTAAAACTAAATTACAATTAATATTAAATAGTAATTGTAAACTACTAAACAATTGTAAACTATTAAACAATAGTATGTAGCCTGAAAGCAATAATTGTTTTAATTGTAATTTGTTAATATTCATATTTAACTAAATGTAAACTGTTCTTATTAAATATTAAATAAATTGTAATTTAATTTTAATATAATATTAAGATTAATATGAACAAATTACAATAAAAAAATGTCATTTTGATATCATGACAACTCTTCTTTCTTCTGCCCTCAGAGCAAAACAACTATCTGGCTCAGTCTGCCGTTCCCCTGCGCTCGGAGACTCATGGCGGTGAAGACGTGGCCATCTTCTCCAAAGGCCCCATGGCTCATCTTCTTCATGGAGTCCAGGAGCAGCATTACATTCCCCATGTCATGGCCTACGCCGCGTGCATCGGCCAAAACAAAGACCACTGCCGTGCAGACTCCGGCTCCTCTTCTCTCAGCCACATCTCTCCTGTGCTGGCCGTTCTTCTCTCAGTTACATGGCTTTTGTGCTGACCACTCTTCTTCAGATCATCTCTTATCCTACCGTGATTAGATCAGGAGCTGATTCTCTCAAGTGGAGTTTATGATTTTTTTTATGACATGTGATTCATTTTTAAAGCATTTATCAACTTCAGGACCAATGTGTGGGCATTTTGAAAAGGGCCAATTTGAAGAGATTCTGTTGCAATAATGGAAACAAATTGTAAAACGTGGTTAATTCCTTTTACTTGCCATCAAGTGATATCACACAAGTAAGATTGCTGGTGTACTGAATATCAGAACTGCTGTGATTCAGTACAGAAGTGCAAATGTGAGTGTGATATTGCTGTTCTCTAAAGAACATAATAATGAATAATTTAGATCAAATCTGCCCAGCAAAAATACTTCAAAAGGACGCCAAAAAAATATCACGCTTTCTGTGTCGCAAGGCAACATGCAGATTGACCGTCTGTCTGTGGAACGAATTGTTGTTTAACAAGCTCACATTACAGCATTTTACCTCTGAAATTTTGTGAGGTCTGCTGTCACATGAGATCAGTCCTTTTTTTTTTCTTGATAGAAATGAATGTTTATTCACCAAGGATACATTAAATTGAGCAAAAGTGACAAAGAGAGTGACAAAAATATTTATACTTCAGTAAAAGCTTTTTTACTTTCTAGTCATCAAATAATCCCCAAAAAAGTATCATAGTTTTGACAAAAATATGAATCAGCACAAATGTTTTCAACATTGATAATAATAAGAAATGTTTCTTGAGAATTAAAATCAGCATATTAGAATGATTTCTGAAGGATTCTGTCACATTTTGCCATCACAGGAATAAATTGCATTGTAAAGTATATAAAAATAGAAAACCGCTATTTCAAAGCTGAATAGTATTTCACAATAATACTGTATTTTTACGGAGCCCCTAAAGGGATATACTGTAGTGGTGAAAAAAATATGGGATGGGAGAAAAAAAAGAAATTTTGGCATACTCTCGCAAATGTTTTGTGTTCCCTTGAGAAACTTTGCATTCAATCGCAAAGAACTAAAAAAACTTGTGTGCAAACGCAAAGTTTTGCAGAGAACGCAAAAGCATAAACATGTAATTTTTTTTTCTCCCCCCACCCCACCCCACATCACTATGTCTCTTTAGGAGCTCCATATTTTTTACTGTATTTTTGCTTAAATAAATGCAGCCTTGTTGATCATAAGAGACTTTCAAAAACATTTAAAAATTGTACCGACCCCAAACTTTTGAACAGTAGTGTATGTCAACAGATGATGGTTTATTGAGAAGTTTATAAGATGTACAGAATAATAACAACAGAAGAGTTTGACATTTGTGTAGTGTGAGCTTGGCCTTTTTTAGTTACCTGATATTGGTTGCCCAAAAAGTGTCAGATTTTTTTTTTTTTTTTATGATTAGAAGTATAACAAGAAGAAATAACAGTCTGTGCTTATTAAAGAAAGATTTTGTTACATATCATCAGGTCTAATGCTAAAATGACTCAAAGGATTCTTTCATTCAGCATTTTTCAATTTTTTTCCTACATTTGAAGTCAAATACAATCTACCTCACTGGCATGTGATGACCTGCATTACATCCCCCTGTGAAGACCACTTCAAAACTCCAACAAAAGCAAGTCACTCATTTTGAGCAACTATTACTATTGACAAAGGACTAGTCAAGCCACGTTTTTTTTAAAGGAATCCCTTGTATGCAAAACAAAAATGTACATTTATATCCATTGGAAATGCTTGATTCATTACATTGATTGATCTGAAACAGAACTGTAACATGTTTGATGATCATCAGACCAAATGTGGTGTTTTTTTGAAATGCTGTATATCTTTCATGTTTTCACATTTTATTGAAATCAGAATCTGAATGTGGGTGCAATCGTTGTTTGTTTGTTTGTTTATAGCAGTCTGTGAGTCTCTATGAATGTTGGCAGTTCATGAATAATGACTTAAGTAAATGAGAGTTTATATTCCTTCCTTGGCTATTCACTTGGACCCAAATTCAAATATGCTGTCAAATACAAACATTACAAAAGTCATTTTAAAATATACAAAGCTCTGGAGATACAAGAAAGATTTCACAATAAAGGAAAAAATGTGTTGGGAAAAAGATTTTTGCATGGGTCATTTTGTTTTAGGTGGCTTTCCTTCACTGTTGTGGTTTTAGTGAAACACATCGAGCTCAGCCGCAGTAAATGGCCCTTAGTGAGCAATAATGGGAAAGGAGTCCAACTAACATTGACATTTAGACATGGATCTATGCTGATAGTTTAGCAAATCTACCTACCGTCATCACATTTAAAAAAAAACTTTTAGGAAAGAATATTTTATGACACACAGAGCTCAGATGCATTAACATAAAAACGACAATTATGCAGGACTGCAACAGATTTGTGGTAAAGCAAGTCAGAGGAATTCTGTCCTGCAGCATGATTTAGAGATAGATTATAACACACATTTTCATCCTCTCATTTCTGTCCCAGAGTGTGACAAAGCAGCCAAACTCTCTCTCTCGGTCAGCCTGCTGCTTTAATGAGGGAATGTGATATTTGTATTTGATGTCACCTGAGAGACTATACCACTATGGAAATGAGGGGATATCATGGCCCCAAACGAGTTGACTTTATCATCACCTACTCATTTTGCATTACATGACAGTTTGCCCAAATTTTCCCCACCCCCTTCTCCAAGGCTAGTGGTTTTTATAATGTACATCTGCCTATATCACCCTGACATTCAAATGCCAAAGCTGTTCATTTCCATAGGCTGAGAGCGCTAGTGTCCTTCTGTTGATAAAGAACAGAGGGGGATGTGGCGACTGCTGACATGTTTTGTTGCTTGACCTTGAGAAATCTCAATTAAACTATTAGCTTAATATATTAAATATAAATATACATTTATTTATAATACAATATTTATAATACATAATTTATTTTATATATTAAAATATGTATAGTAATGTATTATATATATATATATATATATAATTTATAAATGTTTAATATTTATTAATATTAGTATTTATTATTATTAATAATAATATATTCAACTAAAATATAATTATTATTAAATGCTAAAGAATACACAATATTACTAATAGTGCTGTAAAATTGATTAATCGCATCTAACATACAAGTTAGTAAATATACTGTATAATATTATTATTATTTAGGCCTAATATATATATATATTTTACACACACATACATGCACACACACAACATTTTATGTAAGATGCAATTAATCGTGTAATCGAATTTGACACCACTAATTACTAAATATTATTATGTTGACATTTCTATTTCTAATAATTAATTTTTTAAACCCTGTTATAATACACATCAAATAGAGTTTAAAACTACTGTATATTTTCTTGCAATGAACATTGATATAAAAACTATGGCAAATAGTGGTAACAGTAACCATGCTCAATTAAGCTTTAGGTTAAATATTGAAAGGTTTGTAGCTTGTTTGGGACCAAATGTGGATTTGTACTTGTAGATACTATTTATATTTTCCATAAAATATTTTTGGTAACACTATATTTTAAAATGTCAGTGTTACAGTGTAACTATACATTTCAGTACTGAGTAATAATAATTAACTATGTAGGATGAAGGTTTGGTTTAGGGTTAATTGCATGTAATTATGCATAATTTTTAGTTATTACTACAGTAACTACATGTAACATGCGTATCAATGACACTGTAAAATAAAGTATAACCTATTTTTTTACTCGTTTTTTCATTGTTTGATTATTTCAAAATCATTTTTTGATAATTGGGTAATATGGGTTGAATGGTTGACCTTGACCAATGCAGTCCACATTTGCATAGACGAATGCAAAGTACATTTTTATGCTATAGGTTCATTTTATGTTAAATAATCCTATCTAATATTATTGAAACATATTGGATTTTGCTTCTAATGCTTTAAAAAAATTTTTTTTAAATAAACAACCCGTGGAATACCATATTCACAGGAAAGTGCCAGTTACAGATGACCCTGAAGAGAATTTGATCGTATCTTCAAAGCCTCTTTTGGAGCAGCTGTGATTGACAGTGAATCCATCAGAGGAAGTCTTTATCTGTGAGAGCCGGGAATGAGGGCACTGTCTGACAACTCGCAAGCACGTGGCACCATTGCGACTTTATCTGCCTCTCGCTTTCTTTCTCTCCAAACTAACCTCTTCCCCAGAAAGGATCCTGTGTGAAAGAGTGCGTCCTCTGCAGAGCTGATCTCATGATCTGTCTTTTTGAGAGGCCTGGCATAAGGCCTGCGTAACTGGGCTGAATAATTTCGGGAGGAAGGGGCTTGGGATGGACTCTTGCTCTCTCAGATCAAATCCAGAGAGCAGGGCCAAGCTGACAGCCACTGGCTGCCCTCATAAAAGGAGTGCTGAGGCTGCAACAAGACAGTAATGCTCCCTTTTGCAAAACCCATATCCTCCTTTAACCCCTATTGCTCTCTCCCTGACCTCTTACACAAGCCTTCAGAATGTAGAAGCAGTCATAAAGTGACAATGTATCCCGAACAATGCATCTACTATTTGAGATCAAACAACATATTTGATTAAATGTGGGCTTTATTGTGGCTTAGCAAACCAAACACAGTAATTTTGTGTTCATACGTCAGAGAAATTTGTATAATGCTAACATATCATCTGTTTTGATCTATTTTGGATTGCTTTATGATATCCTGGTATGAGGAGTGGTGACGGATCCAGCTGGTTTTTGGTGGAGGTCATGAAGTATTTATTGAAAAAGAGGGCTTTTAAGTGTGTTGACAAAGCATTAGTATTGTACACATTGGTTGTGAGAGTTTCCCATAACTTATAAGCTTTTTATGTTATATAATCTTTTTGTCATTTTCTGTCATCTTTGTCCTCACCCAAAAGCTAATTTTCCATACACTGATAACACATTTTGAAGAACAAATTTTACAAGCAACATAGCTATAAACAACATTTTTTATTAATTTAATAATTTTATTATAACATACAATGTGTTTAATGAATTAAATGAAGTTATGATGGGTAACACTTTACAATAAGGTTCATTAGTTAGTTGACATGAACTAAGAGTGAACAATACTTCTTCAGCATTTATTAATCTTTGTTAATATTAATTTCAACATTTACTAATACGTTATTAAAATAAAAGGTATTTGTAAACGATAATTATTTCACTGTGAACTAAAATGAACAAACAATGAACAGCTGTATTTTATTTGATTAACTAACATAAACAAATATGAATACATACTGCAACAAATGTATTGCTCATTGTTGGTTCATGTTAGTTAATACTAATGTTAACTAATGAACCTTACTGTAAAGTGTTACCAATTTATATGAATTAGAATGTTATTTTAATAACAAATTATTACATTTAATTTTCCTTTTAGACTAAAAATATGAAACATACATTCCAGATCCAGAAATAAAAGACAGATTACAGACCTGAATAAATAATTTCATTACATTTTTCATTAATAGATTCTGCATCAAATTCTGGAGTCTTGATCCAACATTAAGCCCTGGAT